CTGCCAGGGTAGAATCTTGCAGCTCATTTTGTTTGGGGTCTTTGGAAAGATGCCAAAGAGAAGTGAGCTTTCCGACGAACTTGAATTCGAGTGGGTCCACCATCAGACATGGTCCTCAGTGACAGAAACCTGGGCGTGAGTCACAGCAGGCTGAATTTTGCACCAGCCAGCAAGTGTCAGCCTCAGACTGCATACCTTGAAACTCAGTTTCCTCATCTCTAAAATGGGCTCAGTGGAGTTTTATCGAGCCAAAGAGATGAGGGAATTGAAAGCCGAGGCGCACTGCAGGTGCTCGGAAGGCACTTGCTGCCTCCTGCCAGCCCCAGAGCTCGGGTGGCTTTGCTTGGGCTTGGCAGGCAGGGCCGTGCTGGCTCTGTCTGGGAGAACTGTCCTCAGGACCAAGAGAAGCTCTCTTCATACCCCAGAGCCTTCCACCTGCTGACATCTGGGCCTCCTCCCCTCCACCAGTTACAGATGGGGAAGCTGAGTCACACAGTGTGGTTGACAGACTTCCTTGAGGTGCCAGAGCTGTCAGTGGAGGGTGGGGCCCCCAAACCCAGCTTCCTGGTTCCCAAAGTGATGGCTGAAGCCCTGTGGGGACCGCGGCAGGTGGCGGCTCGGGGCTGAGGAGAGCCCGCTGGCCAGCATGACCAGGGCTCTCGGCCTCTCTCCACTCCCTCGGCCTCCCCTGCTTCTGTGCTTTTCCCCGCTATGTGCTAAGTGCCTCCTCTGTGCAGGCTGCATGGGATGCAGGATGCTTGCCAGGTGTGGCGGCAGACGGCCTCGGACTCACTGTTAGCAGGACACCTGCAGATGAGGGAAATGCTGTGAAGGTGGTAGACTTCGGTCGCAGGGACAGACAGACAGACAGACAGACAGACAGACCAAGAATGATGGACTTGCAGCCTCTTGGAGAATGGGGGCCCCATACAGTCTGAACTTCAGAAAGCAGTGTCTTGTTTTAGTCTAAGTCTGCCCCAGGGGTTTGAGAGAGACTTGAGGGAAGCAAGTGTTCACTGTTTTCTGAAATTCAAGTTTAACTGGATGGTCTGTCCTTTCAATGAGGAAAAGCCTGGTGCAGAGAGGTCAGGGAGGAACCTTCCAGAAGAGATGGCCCTGAGTAGAGCTGTATAGCCAGGAAAGAAGAGCTGCAGGGCCCATCAAAGAAAGAACAGTGCAGGCTGGTGGGTCTGCTTAGGCCCAGGTCACAGCATGGGAAAGAGCTTGGCACGCTGGAGGAACCGAAAGCAGGCTGGGTGGCTGATGCGCTACCCAGGGCAGGCAGTGAGCCTGGGGGAGGTTGTGGGGTGGGGCTGGCTGCTTGGGGCTCTGCAGGCATGGTAGGAGCGTGTGGTCCTCCTCAAAGCCGCGGGTAGTCCTGCAGGTTTTCAGCAGAGACATGGCCTGAGCTGGCTCATACTTCATACTGTAGGTTTGCTCTAGTGACTGCAAGAAGGGTGGGCTGGGGCAGGGGTGGAGCAGGAGAGAGGCACTGCCCTGGGAGTCCAGTGGCTTGCTCTCTGGGTCTCTGATGTCCTTTCTGGCAGTGTTACCACTTCAGATGGGCGAGGTCCCAGGCTGAGGGGACATTCCGACTCCCCAAGCACCTGTGTGTGCTTCTAGGGGGTGAATGGGTGCTTCTAAGATCTCCTGCTAGTTAGCAACCATGAGGAGCAGATTAAGATGACTTCAACCACCTTTATTGAGCTAATTTTTGAAGGCAGAGCCCAGACCGGGTACTGTCCGGCAGCATTTCCTAACGTGAGCTGACACACTTGTTTCTGCGTTCCTGGCCCAAGTGCAGACGCAGCCGCCTTCCTCCCACTTCTGGGGCCTCCTTTGCTCTGTAAGTGCTGAGTCGGCCCCTGCAGGGTGCCTGCTAGGCACAGCCACGCCGACCCGGCCAGCCCTCCTGCCTCCTATGTGCTTCGTTCCACGCACACCTGCCTAGTGCGCCAGAGCTCCCTGCAGGGCCAACCAGGCCCCTTCTCTTGAACCTCTTGGCCCCTTTTTCTTCCCCTCTGACTAAGGCCTGGAAGGACCTTCTTCATCCTGGCTGCCGTCTTTGTTAATTTAGGACAGCGGAGGTTTGCTGGGACATCTGCTTAGGAGACCAAAGTCCTTCATTTCAGCTCAGGCCAGGCCGCAGAAGCACCCTGGGCCTCAGCGCTGCTCGCTGGAGGCAGGGCTCCCCAACCCCAGGCTGTAGTAGTGCCAAGCACACCCTCATGGCTGAGTCGCCGCCTCTGTGAAGCCTCGCAGCTGCGCCTGTATTCCCAGCTGTAATTCACTCAGGGCCCCTATCTACCAGGGTTTCCCCTGACCATCTTCTTACCATAACGAAGGCTCTCATATAAACGAGTAAGAAGCGCTTGGCCAGGGGGCCTGGAAACTCCCCCTTCTGTAGAAACAAGGGTCCGCTGGAGGTAGCACACACTTGCTGTTTTACTGCTCACATTAACTTTACAATATTGCTGATGAGAAAACTGAGGCACAGAGAGGGTTAGCTACTTCTCTGAGGATACGCTGGCAGGGCATGGGGCAGCAGGACTGGCGCAGAGAGAACCCTCCCATATCCATATTGAATCCTGCCACCCGGAGGGAGCTCGACTCCTTGGATAGGCTGGTGTCCCATTGGGTGCATGGTGGAGGGAGGAGAGAGGAGCCCAGGAAAACGGCTTTAAGACACTTTTGCAAACCAGACACTTCCCTGAAAGCCCAGCTGCTGCTATGCGTGTGTGTTCCCCTTGCTGTTGTGACGCTGAATCAAGGACAGCCGAGGTCAACTTTCACTTCCTGTGGAGGAAGTGCATGTAGGGCCTGGGGAAGCCTGCGCTGGTGAGGCTGGGTCCCCAGGCAGCCCTGGGAGCTGCTGACCCCAAAGGGGATAGGAAAGAAGGCAGAGCCCCGTTAGGTCTGGGTACCTTTTCTTATTCCCGTGAAGGCACATGTGAGTTTTCTCTGTTTTTAAAAAGAAAGTGGTGCTTTTTGAAAGCAAAGAAATCCAAACTCCATCTCACCACAGATGCCAGATGCCATTCCTTTGCAAATGCCCTCCAGCCCAGGCTTTCAGCCAGAGGTTGGTAACAGCAATCAGAGAGTATTTATTAGTTTCTGATTAAAAAGTGCTTGTGTTTTCAACATGAATGTGTGATGGATAGATGCCTAAGGACAGATAATAAAGCAGGCAGTGTTTAAGTCATATGTCGCCACTAGCTGTAATGTCAGTCCTCACCGGGATCCATCAGGCGTCCACACAGCACAGGGGCCTGTTCTTATTTTATCCTCACACAACCCTGGGAAGGCATCATATTTGGATAAAAGGCAGAGAAAGTTACAGTGCTTTGTTCAAGGATACATAGCTAATTGAAAATAATCAAGAATTTAAAGCTGAGCTTCCTGTTCCAGACTTTGGGATACACAGAAATAAAATGACTGGGTGGGTAGATGGTGCACATGCATAATCCCAACACTCAGGAGGCTGAGGCAGGAGGAGCCTCTTGAATTTGAGGCCAACCTGGGCTATGGAGTGAGCTCAAGGCCAGCCTGCACTACCATGTGAACCCTGTCTCAAAAAAACAAACTAAATAAAATGAAAGGAAATGGCTATGTGCTGAGGGGACAGAGATGGAGGAAGGGGAAAAACACACTGGAGACAGTGCATGGTCATAGCTCTGTCACTGTCACTCTGTCTCAGAAATCCTGGCAGAGTAGGCTGGAGCCACAGGTGTTTCTACCCGCAACCCTTGACCTTCTTCCTCACACAAACCTGCCGAGTTCTGGGCAGCTGCAGGTGTGGCTGGCCTGTCTCCTGTAGGGACGCCTCAAGAGAGTGCTCCATGCAGGGCCTGTTTGCTTGGGCTGGAGCCCAGCAGGGGTGAATGTGGCAGGAAGAGGAGCCACCTGGGCCACACTGTGGGCTAAGGAACACAGGCTCTGAAGCCGGTCTGTCCAGGCTCAGATCTGGCTTCCCCACCTGCAGGTGGCATGACCCAGCCATGTGCTTGCTCCTCTGTGCCCGGGCATCCTCACCTGTAAATCAGGTCCCTCGGCAGGTGGGCATGCTGACACCCTCAAGGAACCCTGTGGTCACAAAGCCTGTGAGACTTTGACTCGGCATTCACCAAACACTTACTGGCTTGTAGAACTTTCCCCCTTCTCATAAAACCATGTAATAGCCCTCAGAATCAGTGTTCCACAAAACACCCTGGAAACCCTTGTGGAAATTATTTGTTTCAGCTGAAAACTGCCCAGTAGCCCATGTAGGTGGTCAGCAAGAGAAAGCAACAGTTTGCGAATGCAGAGTTTTGTTTGGCCTGACTTTCTGGCCCCGAATGTCTGTTCCTGGGAAGGAAGGAGAACGGGCTATTGAGAAAAATCTTCTCATCGGTTGTTGTGGTAACTGATAGGAGACCCAGGGCGGCTGCTGCCCGGAAGGTGGAGGGTGGGCTCCGGTGCTTCCGTGCACTCTGGTGAGTCAGGGAGCTGGACTCTGCATAGGTCACGGGCTTCCCTCTTGATGAGGACAGAATATCCAAACCACCTGTGTTCCCAGACAAGGCAGAAGGCACATCTAGGACAGCCAGGACCCAGAATGAGGCCCTGGGGACAGTCTTGGCATATGCAGAGCCCTTTGAAAACAGCTTTTGGCTAAACAAAGCACTTAATCAAGCTTAATGTGTAATGATACTTTTTTTGGAAAACAAAGAATTGGACTTTCAGATACTGAGGAGAAAAGATAACGTTGGTGGCTTTGGAGCGACTTCTAGTTTTTCTTATTTTTCCTATTGTTTACATCTCTTCTTTTTCTGCTGTCGATACCACTTCCTTTTGGAAAAAGCAGCAGGCACATATGTAAATATAAGTGTAACTATAGGTATGTGTGTACACCCCACAACATGACACCGTAGGTAAACAAGAGAAGCAGATGCCGGTGAGCTTTTGTCTTCAGCCTTGGTTTCTAATCGTTCCTTCAAAGCTTGTCACCTTTTGCTTTCCAGATGGGCAGCAAATCTGGGAGATGGAAGCCACAGTGGATAAAGACAAAAGCCAGCCGGTAAGCCTGGGGAGGGCTGACTCTAGGACAGCTCTGAGCTCTCGAGCCCCAGCCCCTTCCGCGGTTCCCTGTGTCTGCACTCCTCACTCCCTGATTCTCCTCTTTTCTCTTTCTCCTTTCTTTCCTTCCCTCCCACTGCCCTGGACCCAACGCTTAAGTGTAGTCAGTGTTCAGTAAGTGCGCATCACCTTGACAAAAGGATTACACATTTTTGAGTACCAAGCCCTCTGCTCTGCCCCTGTGGCGTCTCAACCTTGCTCTCACAGAACATCTTTCCTTGCTGCAGCTCAGGAGTCAGACTCCCCCTGAATCAAGTTTGGCCTTTAAATTACAGAAGGCACCTGGACAGGACTCCCTGCCTCTAGCCGGGCTGGCTGGGTGTGCTGGGGGTCAAGTAGGTGAGCAGACGCAGCTGCAGTTCAGGACAACCCTTTCCTTCCAGAACATGCTTTTTGTTGAGATCCCCGAGTATCGGAACAAGCACGTCCGCACCTCTGTGAAGGTGAATTTCTATGTCATCAATGGAAAAAGAAAACGAAGTCAGCCTCAGCACTTTACGTACCTACCAGGTAAGGAGGCCTTGCTGAAGCCCCTTCTGGGTTGAGGGGTGGTACAGGTGTGGTGCTGGAGACCCCTAAGTTCTGCTCCCAGCTGAGCTCTCTGGAGCGGGTGACCCAACCTCCGAGCCCCAGCGTTCTCATCTATTGGATAGCACCTGTCTTACAAGAATTGAGGAAATGTACATAGAGCACTTAGCACAGGCATGGTAGTCCCAGTTAGGGCTGTCATTGTTTCTCTCTTTGCAGGGGTGGGACACGTGTAGACAGGTACATTGTCAGGTTGCTAAGCAGGTGACTTGTCCTTGTCTTAGATCTGATCATGCTAGAGGTTGAAGGTGGGTATGCCAAAACCTCCTGCAGAATCTTTAGTTGACCTCCCTTTGAGGTCCCCCATGGCCAGCTGGAGTCACTGGGTGGACAGCCAGGCCAGGAGGCCTCTTTCTTACAGAGTTCTACATTACCCAAGAAGAGTAATTGTGTATTCATTCATTCATGCGTGCGTGCATCCAGAAAATATTTGGGTGCTGGGCATTTTTCTTGGCTCATATACCCAGCCATGGACAAAACAGATAAAACCCTCCTGTTCATGTGGAACTGACTCGCTAACAGAGCGGCCTCCTCTAGTAGATGGTGTTGATATCATTGACAGGTTTGGATGACGGGCGGACAGGAATAGCCAGAACGCTCTAATTTTAAATTTTAAAAATGCTTCTTTGGGGCATAGCCCCCACCCCCTAGGCTAAGAGAGGCCTGTTCACCACTTTCTGAGGTGGGAAGCCTGTGATCCTAGACCTTGGCCACCCAGCCATCAGTTTCATCCTCTGACTGTGGCACTTGGCGCCTTTGGGGGAGCCAGGAGTGTTAAACCCGGGGGCCGCCTGGCCTCAGTGTGTTTGGCTTTGGTGGCCTGACCAGCAGGTTTGTGTCAACCCCTGGGAGGACACCTCTGTCCCAGGAGTAATGTGACAAGCTATGGGGAGCAGAGGGCAGACCATGCAGGCTTTGTAGGACCCAGTGCTGCGGGAGAGCCAAGCTGGGCAGCTCCTGACTGCAGCATGGAGCTCCCCTTGAACGCAGAGGTTTTTGGCTAGGATTGTGGCGTGCTGTCCTCTCCTCTGTAGCAACAAGACTTCCCTAAGCCCAGGTGAGCAGCACCCAAGCAAGAACTGCAGGCCCCCAGCTGGGCCAGGGATTGGGATGTGGGTCTCCAGTGGCATTGGGGGACGCATTTGGTTCTGGTGGCAGGAATCAGGCAGGTATCCTACTTGCCTCCTCCCAACCCCAGCCCCAAGAAGGCCACCCTGCCCACCCCAGCTGCATCCGGGTCTCTGCAGTGCATGTGCTCTGGGGAGAAGAAAAGGGACCCGCTGCTGCCATCCTGCTGGTGCTTCAGTGAAGATGTCCAAGGAGGGAAGCTCTGATGATTAGTGCCAGGAGTGTGGGGAGAAAGGGACAGTGACAGGACAGTACAAGTCATAGTAGTGACAATACTAAGAAAACAGCAGCAACAGCAAGTACTGAGCACCGACCGTATGCGGGTTACCATGCTCTGTGGCCTGCACACACATCTTATTTATTCTTCCCAACACCTTCATTGGGAATGGTGGTTGTTACTGCCAGCTCTCCTTCTCTAAAGTGCTACAGAACAGAAGAGGGGCGCAGGGAGTTGGTCCTGTTCCACTGTCTGAAAAAGTCTGAACATCAGTTGAGTATCAACTGCTGTGTCGGGCTTCGAGGATGCGGCACTGAGCAAGCAGCAGCTTTCCTTTGAGGGAGCCGGTGTTCTAGGGGAAGGGGCTCAGGGAGTATCTCTGGTCAACGTGGACAGTTTCAGGTGGTAACGGGTGGTACGAAGAAAAGGGGGGACAAGACGGGAACTACCAGGGTCAGGTGAGGAGAGACTGTGTGTGGGTGCACACATGCGTACGTATGTGCATGCGTGTGCGTGCGTATGTGTGTGCGTATGTACATGCACGCTTGTGTGCGTACGTGTGTGCGTGCGTACGTACATGCGTGCGTGCGTACGTGTGCGCATGCGTGCGTGAGTTCATGCGTAGGTGTTTCTGGAGGTTTAACCCAGGCTCTTTAACTGAGCTACATCTTCAGCTACTTTAGAAATCTTTTTTGAAATTATGAAACAAGATCTCACTAAGTTGCTGAGTTGCCCGGGCAGGGCTGAAACTTAGGCTCCTCCTTCTTCCACCTCTTTGGGTTTTGGGATTCCGTACATCCACTTGGCTAGAGGGAGGGATCGTCTTAAATATTCTCGGAGCTCTCACTTTGGGAAGAGGCTGTGCAGTTTCCAGTGCTGAGTCAGGCCTACCAGTCACCTTTCCAGTATTGGAACGATCTACAATTCTGGTCACTGCCAGGATAGTTTCCAACGTAAGACAATTGCACAGGAGCCTTGTGGCCGTCAGCAAGGAGTGGCACAGCCCAGCCTTCGGTCCCAGCCACCCGGGCTCCCGGAGCCCTCTCCCTGCCAACCCTCTGTACCATCCCAGCTAACGGTGGTAGGCACAACCGTGTGCTTTTCTCTCCTCGCAGTCCCAGCCATCAAGACGGAGCCCAGCGATGAGTATGACCCCTCTTTGATCTGCAACCCTGCCCTGGGGAGCCAGCCTTACTACCCGCAGCACCCGATGGTGGGCGAGTCCCCTTCCTGTCTTGTGGCCACCATGGCTCCCTGCCAGCAGTTCCGCTCAGGGCTGTCATCCCCTGATGCCCGCTACCAGCAGCAGAACCCGGCGGCCGTCCTCTACCAGCGGAACAAGAGCCTGAGCCCCAGCCTGCTGGGCTACCAGCAGCCGGGCCTCATGGCCACGCCCCTGTCCCTCGCGGATGCCCACCGCTCAGTGCTGGTGCACGCGGGCTCCCAGGGCCAGAACCCAGCCCTGCTCCACCCGACTCCGGCCAGCCAGCAGGCCTCGCCGGTCATCCACTACTCGCCCACCAACCAGCAGCTACGCTGCGGAAGCCACCAGGAATTCCAGCACATCATGTACTGCGAGAATTTTGCGACCGCTGCCCGACCCGGCCTGCCTCCGGTCAGTCAAGGTCAGAGGCTAAGCCCAGGCTCCTACCCCACAGTTATTCAGCAGCAAAACACCCCAAACCAAAGAGCCGCCAAAAATGGACCCCCGGTCAGTGACCAAAAGGAAGTACTACCCACAGGAGTGACAATTAAACAGGAGCAGAACTTGGACCAGACCTACTTGGATGATGGTAAGACGTTGTTTTCTCACCGCCTCTGAGAAAGGTGCCCCCAGCGTTCCCCACCCCAGATATTCACTGAATGGTTTCAGTACAGTATAGCCTTCAACCTCTTAGACCTCAGGGTCCCCATTTAACGTGGGACTTGAATAAGAGCCCATGGCACCGTGCAGGGGGTGGCAGTTACAGTTTTAGGTGTTCCCCTCTAGCACCTTGGTAGATAAAGCAAAAGAGGACATTTCTGACCATGGTCCCCCAAGGTCATGAACTGGGTCCATATCACTACTTCCACTCTTGTTCCAGTTGCTAAATTTAGATCCAGGGCAGGAAAGCAAAAAGGAAGGAAAACCAGCCTCCTCTCTTCCTGTAGAGAAAAGCCCCACTTCATAGCCTGCTTTTAGGGGTGGGGAGCAAGCGGGCATTGAAAGGCTCTGCCCGCAGGAGCATGAATAGGGCTTGCGGGTGCCGGGGGCTGCAGGGACACAGAGCACATTGACGGCGGGGTGGCAGTGGGCTTCAGTGATGGAGAGCCAGCAGAGGGGTGGCGCGACCCGGGGGAAGGCGCAGGAAGGTCCTGCGGGGTGGCCTGAGCACGTCTTGTCTGAGTCGCTGTGACAGTCTGATCTAGGTCTGGGAGGAAGAACTCGAGTTGCAATGATCAGACTCACCTGAGATCAGCAAGGGCCAGCTGCCAGGTGGAGGGACGCAGACAGGCAGAGCAGCCTTTCCTTAGGGCTCTGGAGAGCAAGCAAGCAAGTGCAGGAGTTTCTTAAGCGAAAGAAAGCCTAATGGGCGGACACCTGCTCTGACCTCAATGTTTTTTTTTCTAGCCAGTAGCGTCTCATACATGAGTCAAATACCTGGTTCCAGAGCGCTTGGTACCAGAAGTGTTTCCTACTACAAAAGTCTGAAATCCAGAATCTGAAACCCAGAATCTGAAATATTTTGAGCATCGTGTTGGTACTTTGAGTTTTTGGATTAGGGATGCTCAGTCTGTATCCTGAAAACTCAATTATTTAGTAAAATTAACTCTTTAGGAACCAAGCCCAGGAGTAGGAAATTTGCCAGCAAACTTTAGAACACCTACAGTGGTTATGATAAACCCTGTGTTCAGACACTTGGGTGCCAGGAAAATCCTTTAATGCTTACCCAGAAGCTGTTGATTTTTACTTTACACACAGTCTCAACGAACCAGGTTACCTGGAGATTCTGTGAGTTCTGGTAGTTTCTATGTCTTCTCTTTAGTGAAGCCACCAACCAAAAACATTCCCTAGGGCCAGGGAGATCGCTCAGTGGAATAAGTGCTTGCCTGGCAAACACAAGGTCTTGAGTTCGATCCCCGGTACCACCAAAAAAAAAAAAAAATAATAATAATAATAATAAAAACATTCCTTAAACTCCTCAAGCTGAGACCTAGGGTGCTACTTGATGTAGGGTGTCCTGCCCTGTGAGTTGTACAGAGCTGACATGTTCATGTTGCTGTGTGACTCTGGTTGTCTGAGCCTGAACCAGTGAGTGCAGTGTGAGCCAGGGTCCCTTGCTCTCTGTCTCCATCACGCCTGTGTCTAAAATTCAACCTGGACCCAACGGAGCCTGTGTCTCCATCACGCCTATAATGACCTACATCCCAAATGGCGAAGATGAAACCTCGGTGCTTATTAGAAGGCAGCGGTCGGCGTAGAGAGTTTGCTAATTCAGGGTGCCCAGGCAGATTATCAGGGAGCCAGGCTGTCGCTGCACCTGCCCCACATGGGTCTGGGGACTGTGTGGGAGGTGAGGTGCTTTAGGACCAAGTAAGGTTCTGGGCAGGGCGGGAGTGTCTCCAGCTGTCTGTGATAGGCACTGCTTTAGTCCCCGCAGTACGAAAAATGCAGTCTCCCATTCTGCCCCTCATCCCGTGTGGAAGATGGACCATGGGCAACTGCTCGGGGAGCCACCAGCGTCTGTTGCAGCCACGGGTTCATAGGTGCGCTTGCTTCTGTTACAGAGGAAGTGGCTGGGCGTGGAGCCCCTGAGGCATCTTTGTGGCCACAGGCAGGACCACAGTGTGGGGTGAGCCCCCTGTGGGCATCGGGGAGGAGGATGTATAGGGTGTGAGCTCGGTGAGGTTTACTCTCGAGGAAGGGCATTCTGCGTGTGCCCTGCCAGTGGGATTTTAGGAGGAGCCCTCGGCAGAAGGTTCCACGGTTTATAAAGCTGTGAAAGTAACTCCTCTGCCGCCGCCTGCCGTGGCTTGTGTCCAGGTTGAATTTCCTGGGAAGCAGGGTGAGAGTCCGGCCCTTGGGTGCCCAAAGGCCCAAGAAGGTTCTGCTGCTGGAAGAGGAAGTGAGCGGGCGGGAGCATGTGGGAGGCCTCTGCGTTTGGCACAAATGCAAACACCCATCCTTAAAGCTGACTGGCATCTCCCCTGGGGGCCAGGCAAGCCCCCCAAATTCGGCTGGGTTTTTTCCCAAACCTGGCCCGTGACCCAGGGCATCTGTGGAGTTCCACTGAGTCCTTGCGCGCATCTTGCCAGCTGCATTCCTGCACACAGACCCTGCTGTCTGGGCCCTGTTCCTTCTTGGAGCACAGAGCTCCGCCTCTTCACTCTCTGTTGCCAGAGCTGAGGAGGCCTGTGCAAAGGCTCTGTGAAACAGCACAATGCAGCCCTTGGGGGGGGGGGTTGGGTTGCTAAGGACGCTGGATGTCAGCACGTAAGATGATACCTGAGCAAGTGGGTTTCAGACAGTGGAGGCAGGAGGCTGGCTGGCTGGGGTGTGGCCCCCACAGGCCAGCAGATGGAAGGCGCCATGTGGGAGACCTGAAGGGAGGGGTTTGCAGGGAGGGGACCAGCAGGTGTGGTGGCTGGTCTCACAGCGCCGTGGTGTGAGCCAGTTTACTTTCTGTAAAGATGTCTGGCTGCCCATGAGAAATGAAGAAGCCGGCAAGAGCTGGAAGGAAGGAGACAAGTTTCAAGGAGAACAAAAGATTTATAGTAGTCTCCCCTATGCCGTGGGCTTTCATTCTTTGGTTTCAGTTACTCATAGTCCAAAATATTAAATGGAATATTCCAGAAATAAACAACTCATAGGTTTCTTAAAAAAAGCAATTCATGAGTATGAAATCACATTTATTACCCTATATCTCTAAGTGGCTATTTGGTATTAGTTGCCATTGTACATTTCTGATTATGCCTAAGGCAGGAGAAAACAGTGCCCACAGAACTCAGCAGAATTAGTGGATTCAGGGGCCCCTGGGGATGTGCCCCCCAGGGGTAGGAGCCCTCCACTTTATTTTAGACCTAGCCTACTAGGAAGAATGCAAATGCCAGAGCAGGACCAGATAGGGAGGTCGTGGCTTCGAGGATGGTGTGCTTTACACGCCTCTCCCATAGTGTGGCTACTTAAGATGCACCTGGAATTGCTGAAATGTGCCCAGTGCAGTCCTCTGACCACTTCCTCTGTGTAATACGGTCGCGGGCAGCCACGCTTTACCACCCAGCCTAGGCCAGCACGAGAGGCGCAGGGTGAGGAGCCTCCAAGCTGGCTTTCTCCAGGGTCCTTTGGCAGCATGGCCTGGGAGTCACAATGACCCCACAGCTCACCTGGGGCATCTGAGGTCACTGGGCTGTCTCACGGTAAAGTCCACTGCAGCGGGGCTGGGCGGGCACTAGCATCCTCGGGGACTCAGCCGCAGACCGGAGGGTCATGAGTGCAGGGGTGTGGCCTGACTCCAAGCTGCCCCGTGACCCTGTTCTAGAAACCTCTTGGGGAGGAAGGATGTGGAGCTCTGTCAGTGGTTGAGGATGGCCCATGCTGCGTACGTGTGTGTGTGTATTTTCACATGTCCACACATGGGTGTAACAGAATGCTCACTCTCATGGATCAGTCTGTTCCTCTAAAGTCCACTTCTATATTCTGAATACAAAGTACTTAAAAAGTACTCCCTGAAATGTGTTGATTGAATGAACTTGAATATTTCTCTCTGTGTATAAATATTGAACTCGATGGCCATCAAGAAATCAGTAATGTGCTCTATGAATGTCACAAAGAAACATCTCCCAAATTACTGCCTGGTTGTGATGCAATCTTGTCAGCACCCCAGAAAACCTACCTCTGTCCTTTCCACAAAAGCAGCCATCTCCTGCCTTCTAAGCCCAGAAGCGCATTTTGTCTTTGGGTACAGTTGGAAGCCACTCAGGGGTACTGTTTTGTGTCTCGCTTTTTCTGTCCACCTCGAGGTTGTGAGCTCTGCCGCTGCTGTGGCTGGCGCTGAATTCATTCTTTTTCCTGGTGGTGGATTCTGCCCTACAATCTCACCATCCGGGTCCCTCCTGATGGACTTTAGGGTGGCTTTTAGTTTTCTGAATTGTTGAGCTGTTTGGCTTGGGGACCAGACAAACACATTACAGCGGCTCACATGGCCTAGAGCAGGTCCCCCACTGTTTGTTTGTTTGCTTTTGTTTTTTGTTGATAGTCGCAGCCCCCGCTATCCAGAACCTTCTGGCGCCTTCCCTAGGCTTACTTCTATTTTGGCCACTTGAACACCTGACTCCTTTTGCTTGATGAGAGCACAAGAAAAATGAATAGGAAACCATCCAGAGCAGGAGTTGAAGTGTGAGGCCAGGAGGCTGGTGTCCCGGTGGGAGAGAAGCAGGGTTGATGCTCTGTTTTTTCCCCCCTGTCCTGGACGGAGCCCCTCGGGGGCAGACTGTGCCACCTCTGTGACGTCTCCTTGTGGAGGTGGCTGCCTTGGGCTGCCAGGCGGCGCAGGCCAAAGGTTCGGCCCAGTCGTGTAGACTGTGCCAGGCAGCGGCCTGCCAATGTGTTTTCTGTTCTGTTTGATCTGGCTTTCATCTTCTCCCTGCCTTGTTCCTTTTCCTCGATGTTTACTCAGACCTAAGATGCTGGCCTGCTCAGGGTTCCCCGCCAACTGTGCGGCCTCGGACAAGCTGCTAGCCGCTGGGTGCCTCTATTTCCCCATCTGTGAAATGGGAGCACTCATAGTTCCTGCTGCCTCGGCGCCTGCTAAGA